GCATTGAAAAAAGTGACTGATGACCATTTTTCACACTTAGCAACCATTTTCACACTTAGTGACCGTTGCAGCGACCCATATGGATTATTATAAGTCAAAGTAAAGTTTCAACAACCAAACTGCTATCACATGTAAGCTATTCTGGTGTTATTCTATCAGCCAACTTGGCTGCCAGTCTCTTGGAGACCATTTCAAAGTAGAGATTTTAATCTTTAAGGTCCTCAAACAAGCTTGGCATGGGGTCTCCACAGCCCCTCAAAATTTTCAATTTAATGGAACAAAAAGGGAAAACCAATTCAATGCATGTGAAGTAAACATATGAACAATGTTTGATTTTTAAAAACCTGAATTTGATCTTAAATTAAATTAAATTAATTTAAATTAAATTAAAATGAATTTAGCATTTGCTCGGAGCCTATCCATTTTATGAAGTAGGCTCCCAGCACACAATTCAAAGGCCAAAGCAGCCTTTGGTCTAAAAGGTTTGAACACTGATGTCCTAAATTAGTGTATTTTAAACTTGGCAACTGTAAGATGTGTGGACTTCAACTCCCGGGATTCCCTAGGCAGCATATTGGCTGATGAATTCTGGGAGTTCAAGTCCACATATCTTAAAAGTTGCAAAGTTTGAAAAACAGTCCTAATAACCCTCTGAGACCAGGCTATCTTTATCACTGCTTCATTCTGTATGTACCTATTCACATCAATCAATCAAAATTTATTGGCTGGCCATCTTACAAGGTAACTCTGGTTGGCTTACAATTATAAAACATAATATATATTAAAAACAAATACCCACAAACATTATGATCCAAGTACAAGTGGAGGCAGAGTGTGGGCGAGGTGGGATCTGTTGTTAATCAACTACCTCAACTGTAATGCTCCCCCATTGGGGCCCCAAGCAAACTGACAGAGCCAGGTCTTTAGGCCCTTATGAAAAGTCAGGAGGGTTGGGGCCGACCACACTTTGGGAGACAAGATGTTCCAGAGGGCAGGTGCAATGGCAGAGAAGGCCTTTATCCTGGACCCTTCTAGCAGGAATAATTGAGCCAAGGGGGCCTGCAGCATGTCTCTTCTACCTGCACAGGTGGCATGGGCCAATCCCAGTGGGATTAGACAGTCCCTCAAGTAGCCTGGACCCATGCCATGAAGGGCTTTAAAGGTGATTACCAACACCTTGAATTGCACCTGGCAATTCAACTGGCAGCCAATGCAGCTCATGGAGTAATGGTCTTACCTGGCCCATTCTTTGGGCCCCAAGAACTGCCTGCACTGTTGCACTTTGCACCAGCTGTAGCTTCTGAATGCTCTTCAAGGGTAGCCCCATGTAGAGCACATTGCAATAGTCCATCCGTGAAATGACTAGGGCCTGAATGACTGAGCACAGGGACTCCTGATCCAGGAAAGGCTGCAACTGGTGCACAACCCAAAGTTCAACATCCAAGCCACTGTCTCCCTGCTGTTTCTGAACCATGACAGATGGACACATGAGAGAGGGCCTTTTCTGCTATAGCATTCAGAGCATAGAATGTCCCTTTCAATACCCTCTTTGAAGTAAGTGGCCCCAAACCTGACTTATCTCTCCCATTAGTTGTTTATCAGATACAGTTGTTGGTTTTGCTTTGGATTATTTCCAATATTGTAAGCTGCTTTATGAGTGGTTCATGGAAAAGTAGGGGATAAATGTTTTAATAAATAAAACATGTACCCCCTTACAATTATAATTTTACAAAGAAGTGAAAGGCACCTCACATACAATTCTTTTTTACATTAAAGTGCAGCTAGGGAACTCAGACATTCAACAATCAAAATAAGCTACTAATTTGTTTGCCTTAGCTATACTGTTAGCAATTTTTCATCACACCTCTCAAGGAGTGACATTAATATGATGGCAGGAAGAAAAGGCACAAACCAGGAAATTGTGGCAAAATTCAAACAGCCCAGCTGGGTGTGAACACACAAAATCCTAGCCCACCTACTGGAATCCTGGTGCCCTCACACAGGTCTAGGACAACTTGGCGTGGCCAACTTGCTGTGGCCAATTCGCCACAGGACAACTTGCTGCAGGACAAGAGTTACACTAATATCAGAGAAATGGTGGAATAGAATCTTTAAATAATGGATGCAAAATGAGGGACAAAATGAAATGTGACTGACAAAAATTAAAATATTTTTTAAATTATTTTAAATACTTCAATTGAATTGTTAAATTGTCCCGCGGCGAGTTGGCCGCACCAAGTTGTCCCATTCCACCCTCACACAATCTACTGCTGGCATCTATCTTGTCTCCCCAACCCAATGAATCACAGCAAGCCTCTAGTGGGTGTTCTAAGATTGCCATTATAACTGTGCTTAATGCACTCAATACAGTGTTACTCCATGACACTGATCTATCGCTCTGGTGCTCTCTGAAACATTGCTGCTCCCCAAATTAGACAAGGCTGTTGGGTGGGGGGAAAACCTGTCTCAGAACAGAGCAAAAGTTGGCAAAACCTATGCTCAGCCCCCATTAAAAAGCCCCGATTCGTGTGAGATTGTGGCAGTCTTGTTCATGATGCCAGTATCCTTAACTCATGCCAACCTATCTATGCAACAATAAAGAGCAGGATGGAAATAAATGAGCCCAAATATTGAACAAAGAAATGAATTTTTAGCAATGCTGTATCAGCAAAATGATTATAACCCTGGATATACTCTCAACTTAAGCACTGAACCTGAATTCTGACATGACTGTTGCCTCCCTTATTCAAAAGCCAGCTTTTGTGCCAATGGTATTAGAAATACAGGTACTCCTCTAATTACAAAGCTAATAGAGTCCAGAATTGCCATCATAAGTCACGATCATTGTAAGTCAAGGTGCCTACATGACCGGACCCAATTTTATAACTTTTTTTGTGGCAGTCATTACATGAATTAATGTATTCCTATGGTGTTTTTTGTTGGAAACCAGCCAAAAAGGCCGGAAACTGGCAAAAAACATTGTAAATTGTGGTCATGTGACTGCAGTGTGTGTTTGTGCGTGTAGCCATCAGAACTCCAGGACTAGGTCATAAGTAGCTTTTTGGGGGGGAAGAACCATTGTAACATTGAATGGTCACTAAGCAACTGGCTGTTAAGTGAGGATTACCTGTACAAGCATCTGTATAATAGTTCTATGAAAACTATCTGTACTAATTCAGTTCCTGGGGAAACAGTCCTGAGCCATTATTATACCACTATGGTCATATACAAATTACCCTCCAACTTCAGGTACATCACCACAGATAACCTCAGAAGCCTAAAATATCTACTCTTTTTTGCAGGTAGAAGCTATAGTTCAGCAGTAAGCACAACCTTTGCAAACAAAAGTGTAGATTAAATCCATACTATCTCTAGGGACAAAGGCTCAGGTATAAGTAATGGAAGAGACTCATATTTGAGACTCATCAATACAGAGTTGTTCAAAGAGTGCAACAGTGGTTTAGATGGATACATGTCATCTGCTCTAAGAGAGCTTCCTATGTCCCCCCTCCATTGCACTCTCCATTTAAATCACTTTACTAAGCCAGTCTTCTATTTCTATTCATTCTACCCTATGCTCTTTCCAAAATTTCCTTTCTTACCCTTAGGCGNCTCTCCACCTCCTCTTCATCTGTCTCTCCACAAATGGCTGCAGTCTCCTGCTTCTTAGCAAGGTGAAGAGGCCGTGTGTCCTCAGGGTCTTCGGGTTCAGGAGATTCCTGGGTTGGTAGTGGTGGTGGTGGTGGTGGTGGTGGTAATGGTAGCAGTGGTGGTGGTAGCTCTTCAAGCACCGGGGGAGGCTCCTTGAGTGATGGGGCTGGGGAGATGGGTGGAGGTGGCTGCTCTGGTTGGACATCTGCCTCCACGGAAGGAGCAGGGCTAGGGGCTTTCACCTCCACTGGTGGTACATCTGGAAGAGGAAACAAAGTAGAAGACAGGAGGGGGTCATCCAGCAAGGAAATTAATTCTTTGGCTCTGGACCACTTTGCATTTGAGGAGATATTCTTTTGATTACCGTTTACCAACACATACTTGGAGGAAGGAATGAAAGAACCAGCCTCTTGATAACATCATGTATTTATATTACTATGTCTTCGACTTTTCAGGCATCCATGGCTGCATTTAATTCATTTAATTTTTAATTTGCTCAGATATTTAGTTAGATTTTAACCATGCTGCCAGGTGCAATTAAATATAGGCGTTCTGATGTGTAACAATAAGCTAGGAATCCTAACCTAATCAATCATAAATGTAAATAAACTGCAAATTAGTGCACTCGATTTATTTTCTCCAGTTCTGTTCCTCACTTTAAGCTAATGAATAAGCAAATTATATAAATACCAGATTTATGTGCCATGGATAAATTTAAATAAGCCATAATTTATAAACCAACTGCAAACTGTACTGCAAAATAGGTTTAGGAACGCTAGCTTATTGAGGAGCATTTCACTATGACCCCAGGTGGACCTTCAAACAAATTAATCCTGCTTGTATTTACTTGTTTATGTAATGAGAAGACTAAGCAGGAGTAAACAAGCTGAATGCATTATGGTAGAATGCCATCCAGTTCAGATTTGTTTAATTAGAAATCCCAGTTTGTCATTATGTCCATCTACTGTATATGTGTGTGTGTGCGTGTATCTATTTAAAATGAATATTTTCCCTTTTTTTTTTTAATGTTGTGTTTATCTTTGTTTTATCTTTGTAATTTTTTTTTCTTTTTTGGCGTTTGTATTTAACTTTCTAAATAAAATAACGAATTATTAAAAAATATTGTGAGTTGCCATGAGAATAGGCAGCTGTATTGGTCCTTTGAGTACATAAAATATTTCTGAACAAGATACCGTAGTGATTGTACAACATCAATGAAATCCTAGAAATATTGCCAACATTGTTAAAAGGAAACACCACATCAGAAACACTATCATGTAATGATCAAAAAAAGAAGTCACAAAAAGTAAGGGACTCCATGATCCGAACGGGTGGCGCAGGCACTCACCATTGGGTTCTCCATCTTTACGGTCTGTGGGATCATAGAGCGCCGAGATGGCTGAGGAGATGCTTTTCTGCAGGTCTTGGTTCTTGCTAACAGAATCTTCCTCATCTGATGAGAATGAGGGCAATGTCTCCAGGTTACGCTTCAGCTCCTCGTCAAGCCGTTTGCAGGGGCTGGTACANTCCTGCTTTTAATGTGTTTAATTTTTAGGTTGTTCAGTAATTTAGATTTTAACTATGCTGTCAGGTGCAATTAAATACAGGGGCTTCTCACATGTAACAGTTAAGCAATTTTCACCTAAGAAATCATAAACATAAATAAACTACAATTGTATTGTACTTGGGTTTATTTGCTCCAGTTGTGTTCCTTACTTTGAGCTAGTGGATAAACAAATTATATAGTTTTATGTTTTATATACCAGTTTTATGTAATATATACCTTGGATAAATAAGCCATAATTTAGAAACCAACTGCAAAGTCTACTGCAAAATGGGCTAATGAATCCTAGCTTGAGAGAATTTAACCATAACCTCAGGTTGATCTTCATGCAAATTAGTTCAGCTCCTATTTACTTGTTTGTGTAATAGCAATAGTACTTAGACTTATATACTGCTTCATAGTGCTTTACAGCCCTCTCTAAGCAGTTTACAGAGTTAGCATATTGCCCCCAACAATCTGGGTCCTCATTTTAAGAGGTAATAAGACTAAACAGGAGTAAACAGGAATGCATTACAGTAGCATGCCATCCAGTTCAGATTTGTTAAATTAGAAATCCAAGTTTATCATTGTCCATCTACCATATCTGTACATGTATGTGTATCTATTTGGATAATCACTTGAAAACCAGATCATTATACCATGAGAGTTACTAAAACATAGTAGTTCTCATGGTATAATCACCTGGTTTTCGGTGAATCATACTACAGTATATTCACTATGCTATTAATTTAATGAGAAAAACAGCACTTTAAAAATATTTTCCACAAGTAAAATATAATGAAAAAGTTTTCCAAAAAGTATTAACTAGCTGTGAGTAAGCAAGCATATTTCTCTGAATGAAGAGTACAGCTTTTCATAATTTTATATCAGGACTATAAAGCTTTAAATAAGTCAAGAGTTGCACTCAGCCCTTGGGTGACAAGGAAGGGAACATACTACAAAAAGTGAGCATATCTAAGACAATAAAACTGGCAAAATCAGTAAAATAGGATAATTATTTCCATCACTTTCATCATTTTCTCCTGCAAAATTAATAGTTGCAATCTGCCAGCAATTTGGGAGCAGTAGTGGGTTCCAGGCGCTACGCCCTGGTACAGGCTTACCGGAGCCTGCCCGGAGCACCGGGTACCATTTCAGTACGGTGCTCCAGAGATCCNCGGACATAATCTTTCTTGTTGATATTCTCCAAGAATTTAACATAGAGTCGTTGGTAACGGTTCTTGGCATCACCAAAATAGCCCAGATACTGAGGGACGAAGCAGAAAAATAAAGAATTGAATAAAGAAAAGAAAGGGGAGGGGAGACCATCCCACTTGTAACTTTTCTTCTGGAAGTAATGAGGGAACAAGTGGAACTGGAATTGAAGTCCTTTGCCTGACACAATAATAGATCAAGCTAATTGCTCAACTTGACTATCCCAAGGAGAAAACTGGGTGGGCGGGGGGGAACAGTTATTCTTTTATCAACAGGCCAAAAAAACAGAAGTACTTCTGCATTTGGCTTGTCCCTGTGCTACCATACTTTCCCAGTATGGCAGAAGCATATTAAGAAAGAGAGGGGGAAGCAAAAGAAAGAATGAGAACAGGGCTTAAAGCTTGACTTCAATTTACTGATTTTGTATATTATCGTGTTGGTGAGATTCTCTCATTTCTGAAGCTCTGGCTTCCCTGCAATATGATGCTACTTAAGTAGATGGAGTGGAAACTCACATTGCTGGTTGCACAGAACTGTCGCTGCCCATCCTTAATTTCAGGTGTAAACTTCTGAAGCAAAGCTTTCTGTACTCTCCAGATTGGAGGTGGTTCCCGGCCAGTCTGAAGTGCAAGCTACAAAAGGACAGAGGAGTAATTACAATGATATCAAGTATTAACAGTTAATAAGTTCAACTATTGTCTTCTAGCCAATATTCCCTAGCAGAAGAGAATTGCATGGAAGGACAACAAAGAGCAGCCAGAGTTACTGCATTTCTTCACAATTTATTCTTCTGTATGAGGCTATTGGTGATGAGCTAATCTGATTCTTCATATGTCCATAGATACAAAAGATATAATAGTTGTCATCAACCACCTAACATCATTTTAAAAGCGAAATAACTTTGGGGAGTTACAAGTAATTTTGGGGAAATAAATGGACTTTTAAACTTACATCTAGAACTAAGCTAGTTATACATGGGACCCAGTGAATTTACTTGTACTTCATCTGTGGTTATTTTTTGTTCCTGATCTCAATGGTAACTAAGTGCAATTAAATTCAGTTTGATCTCCAATGACCATCATCTACAAATGCCCCATTTTAATTACACAATTTTCTTTCCTTCAAATATTTTCTGAAGTGTTCTTTTATGCTTAGAATTTCAAACTTTAAATGTTGAGAAATTCTTCTCTTAATCTGCAACACTGTGTTAATCTGTGTTGAGATGCAACACTAAACTTAGCCTTTGAGTTTGAAAAACTCAGTTTGCAAAACAAACAAACAACTCCAAAACTCTCAACTAGCATGCTCCAAGTATTCGGAATTACAATTCCCATAATCCTTGGCCCAAACTTCAGCTAGCAACAGAGGAAGTCAAAAACACGCAGAGGGCATCCAGCCATCTAGTTCTGCTTAAGAGTACAATACTTTTCAATTTTAATATTTGAAGGGTTTCTTTAATGTACATGCCGTCAAGATTCATTACATACCCTGAGAGCCTGAACATCCTCAACACGTATGACAAACTCATCCCGCTCTCGGAAGATCCCCTCCCCACCACTCTCCACCTCCTCTTCATCTGTCTCTCCACAAATNGGGTGTTCCAACCATCCAATTATTTGATGAGAACCCTCTTCAACATGTCCTGTCTGCCATAGCAAACCTCCACTCTCCACCACCATAGTAGAGGCTTGTCCCATGTCCTGTTTAAGGAAAAAGAGAAACCCCCAAGGAGAAGGGGGAGTGGTGGTGGTGGTGGTGGTGTGAGCTGAGTCTGAACTCGTTGCCTGTAATGATACCCCTCGACTTTCCTCTCCCCACTTCCTGCTCTGGCTCTGCAGAGGGGCAGGCGTTAGGCGGCCCCTCCTGGGGCGTAGCTCTGATGACCGTGTCATGCACATTTGCTTTGCGCCTGAGTCAGCAACTCGCTGAAGGAGTCAAAGAGTTTCTCCAACCATGGCTGGTTGCGCATGCACTGCTGCACCACCTCCTCCTGGCCCAAATCTTCATCTTGACCCTCAATGGCCGTTGTCTAGAAAAGAGAAATGAAAAGGTTGAAAAATTAGCCAGGAAGTAGCAAAGTAGCTTAAAAACAAACAAACAAACAAACCACAATATGGATTTTCTTAAATGAATGAATTTTCCTTTACAATGCCATCCCTAGGATGTAGAAACTGCTTGTACCTTTCTGGAAAGAGCTAGAATAGGTTAGTTTGTCTTTGATGCTGAGACTAATAAAAACAATACTAAAGATTGAGACTTTTAAAATGTTAACACTACAATTTGTAATTTGAATTATTTTCACAAACTGCAGCTTATACATAACACTACTTCTACATACTAGTGATGGAGGTGTAGAAGAAGATTTCTTCATTTAAGAACCTACATATTGTGGTTATTTTTTTATTTCTTATTTATTTTTTTTACTCTTTTTTCTCCTATTTTATTGTATTGTTGTGAGCTACTGAGAGTCAGTTAAAATTAGGTGACACTGAACACTATTAGCCCTAATAAAATCAACATCAATCAATTGCAAAAGGCAGCTTTACTTGGAACAGCTTAGTTTGTGCCATGTTACCTTTAACACCATTAAGCAACATGTGCTCCTCCTCTCCCCCAAAGCCCTTGAGAAGGTCATGACAAAAATGTCATTAATTACCGTATCTGATTTACTGCAAGATGAACCATAATAATAAATGAAGATGCTAAAGTGCTCTGAGACATCAGAAATAAACACAGATAAGCACCAGCCAGTAATACCCTAGACTTAACACCCATTGATAATAAAGACAAAACAGTCTAGATAGTGGATGTTGTAGTACCTATTCTGGAGACAGTGGAATAGAAGAGAGAGAAAAAAAAACTGGAGTAAATCACAAAATACAAAGACCTTCAAACAGAAGTAGACCAACTGTGGCAAAAGAGAGCAAAGATAGTAATAGGCATCCTGGGTACGATCACAAAACATCTGGAGTACCACTTGAACACCACTGGCATTGACAAAAATCACCAAATCATACTTTTGGTCATGCATCCTTCCTCAGCAAAACCTACCTCCCAGAGTTGTTGTGGAAAAAAAGGGAGGAAGCAGTCCTATGCATGCTTGCCTTGAGCTCCTGAATGAAAAGACAGGATATAACTCTAACAAACAACTTGCAAATCCGAATGGGATCTACTTAGGGCTTTACTTACCTCATCTTTACAACGCAGAAAGGTGTGGTATTTGTAGTGGTGAAGGGAATGGTACAGAGTATAGAAAAAGGACTTCTCCACTTCCACATTGAATTCCTGTCATCAATAAGGACAGAGAGTGAAATGTTACATTTCTCAGCAACTTTATATTAGCCATGAAAATATTGAATATGAGCCATGAGTCTCATATTCAATATTTTGTCTCAATGATTAATTAAAATGAAATCTAGGAAGTTTTTACCTTCTCCTTTCAGCCTTTATTAAACTAACAAAGTTAAAATCCTTTGATGCCTGTTGCATGGACCCAATCCCATCTCAATACCTGGAACTTCGATAGGGCAAATCAATGGGCCTGGTCTTTCTATGAAGGAGAATGAAGCCACAGAATCAGATCTTTAATGGACAATGTTATTTTAGAATGCCAGATACAGAGGTAGGGATGAAAATGCCATTGTAAAGTCAATTTTACAATGTTTCAACTTTTCCCTATTCCCCTCTTCCCCCCATCTCCTTTGGATTGACCTGCATTCTGCCACCCTGCCTGCCGCCCTACACTATCCTCAGCTGGCCTCTGCCTTCCTCCTTCCACTGCTAACAAAGCATATCCCAAGGTCTCATGCTGTTGTGGCAGCCTCTTGAAGTGTTATCAGCAGCATTGGCTGGGTTCACCTCAGCAAGAGTGGAATAAGAAGACAGTGAAGGTCAGTCGGTGCCAGCAGAGAGCAGCAAGGGTAGCAGAGGCAATGGGTTGCAGATCAGTCAAAAAAACAGTGATGGAAAGGAGATGAGCAGGCACAGGACATTGGAGTGGAGATTAATGCAACACAAGGCAAGAGAGAGGCGCTTGGAAGGTATAGACAAAACACGGTGAAGAACTGGCTCCAAGTTGATAAAGAAATTCGACAAAATTCCCTACTCTCCCCTTATTTGTTTAACCTTTATGCTGAATATGTATCAAAGGAATTCACAGTAGATGAGCATGGTTTTAAAGCTGGAGAAAGAAATGTCAATAACTTGCATCATGCTAAGGACATTACCTTGTTAGCCCAAGTGCAAAGTCCCAATGTGAACAGTGAAAAAGTACAGTAAAAAATGGGATTCAAATTAAATATAAAGAAGATGAAGTTAATGACAACAAATAGATCAAGCAGGCTCAGTATTGATAAAGAAAATATTAAAATTGTGGATAGCTTTTGCCTTTTAGGATTAATTACTGACAGTAAAGAATAAAGCAATCAAGAAATACAACAACCTAAAATTATATTATGATGCAGTAGCATTATCTGTAATTAGTGATTGGATTGATTTAACTAATGATAGGATACTTAATATCGAGGAGTATGATCTGGTATATGGCTGGCATGCTTACTTGTTATACAACAAAAAAGTCGTCAAAAATTTTAAAAATCATATTTTAAGGAATGCTTTACTGCGTTTGGAAAAAATATCAATATAAATTAAATGATAAGATACCCATGTGGGCAATTCCTAGACATGCAATAGACAATATGAACATAGCACAAAAACAGGATATAATTACTTACAGACAGCTTTTTACCCTAGAAAGGGGTGTATTACAACTAAAACTCTTGGATGAATTAAAAGAGGAAAAGGTAATTAAAACATGGTTCCAGTATGGACAGTTACAGGCCAGGTGGAA